AACAGTGAAATTAATATCTACCGGCCTAGAGATCGAAATCTTGATAAGGAAATCGAGATCTCAATAAAGAAAACGTACTTTTCAACATTTTCTTTAGGGAGACTCTCGATCACTAAACCGGCAGATTTTTAATCTCACTGTCAACAAATAAAACAATATTAAAATATGGAAAAACAGGGATGTCTGCTCAAATAGGTGTGCCCACTGAATACATTTATAAAATGAGAAACTAGTATATAAATACTGATTGTCATAAAGGGAGCGAGATAAGGATTTAGAAAACGGTATAAGTAATTTTGGCAAACAAGGATAAACGTGTCCACAAAAAGTCGTGTTAAAAGGACGGTTTTTCCCATGACACCGTTTTTTAAAACTACTTTCACTCTTGGGCAATGTTTAATGTTTATAAAACAATGATTGAAATTGAAATAAAACATTAATTTTTCTTTGTTCTTGAGAATTTACAACAAAAATCATAAACACTATTTATTTATGATATTACTTATTGGAATGGTTGGCAAAACATCAGTTAATTGCTAATAGATTCAAACTTTATAAAATGGTAAATAATATTTTCCTTAGAGTTGGTTCACATATTTTAATAATTTAGTAAATGTTTATAAATTTATGAATAAAAAAATTGTTTTCATATTTATTTCTTTACAAATTGGTAAATGATAAATATTGTCTTGAATTATTTCTAATTGTATTAATTTTTAGAAGTTTGTAAATATAAAATTATTCTTGTAGATAAATACTAATAAATAAATAGTGTATGATATTTTTCTTGTAAATTCTCAAGAACAAAAAGAAAAAAAAGTATAAATTGACTTTCTTCCTGTGTTTAGGTTTTATTCCAATTCTAATCATCGCTTTTTAAAACAATGAACATTGTCGAATATTGAACATAATTAAAAACAATCAGTGTCATGGACAAAAAAACCGTTTTTTTGACACGACGTCTTATTGTGTGCATGTTTGTCCATGTTTGCCGTAATTTAAAAATAAAATTCACCGGATACAAGGCATGAGTGCCACTCAAGATAGAAAGTTAATGCTAAAATGGTTATGGTGAACGCGGTGTGGGATATGAATGAAAGAGGTGATGATAGAAAGTGAATTTAAAGATGATAAGGAGGATAGATAACAGCTGGTCCTTGACTTGAAGGGGTTAAGATTGTAATGTCCAGGGAAGTACCCACGCAGGGGGAAAAAGCTGTCTGAGTGGGACTTTCTCCTTACATACTGAACACGGGGGAAATGAGGCTGATTCGACTCCGTGGTCTGGCTGAACTGACAGGACTAAAGAACGGAAATTATCTAAACAGATGGAAATAGCGCGAGATTAGCGACAGCTTGCAACGTTGTGTCTATGAGAAAGAGACACAACGTTGCAAGCTGTCGCTCATACATAGAAGGTCCTCAGGTTACGTCGGGCCCGATGTATGGCGTTTCGTGGTTACGTTGCCATCTCCCATAATATAATACGTCGTCACGCGGTGCTATATGAGAAAGACGGCGTTCTTTCTTCCTCGACTGTACGCCATATTAGATTGTGCTACATTCGTTATCTCTCGGTCTTTTTGGGGGAGGGGGGCTTTTTGCGCTTCAGTTTGGCTTCCAAGTGTAAGGCTGGCTCGTGGCTGCTTATGTAGGTGACTTCCAATCTACGTCGAAAATCAGGTTACGTTGCGCCGTAGGGACGGATCTCCAAAGACCCCCTGTATATGATACATTGCTGAAAGTTCCTTCTATCGCCCCGTCCGTCTGTCACGTTCTATCCTTATTACCATCGTCCAGTCTTCAAAAACTTTTACGCGACCTTGTGGGCGATGAATAATTTTTTACCATACAGCCACTTTCCCAGAGACTAACCGTCGCTTGCCTCTCGTTAATCTATCGCTATTTCCATGGCAAATGTTCAGGCGAGATTCTTTCCTTAGATCCACAAGTCCAGAAATTCACAGATAGGACCCGACATGCTACGTACACAAGGTCGACTTCCTCATTTCCTTTGTATTACATTTGTAAGGAGGAAGTTCCAGTATGACAGCTTCTTTCCTAGAGCTATTACGTTGTGGAAAATAGGATGCTTCCCCGATCACTACAATCTTAACCTTTTCAAATCTAGGGTAAACCGGTAAAACCGGCATATTACATACATAAAGAAAAGATCGTTTGCATTGGCTCGATGATTCCGGCTACGGTCGACCTTGAAGGAAGGAAATGAGTTGTAATTGTTAACATTATTATTGAGTTTATGTTTTGGCCGATCCATTCTACAGCCTTCTTCAGGTGTACAATTTGTAAGTCGAGATATCTCTTATTTTCCTGGTTTTATTTTACTTCTTCTTTGTACCGTGTCCCTTCAGGACGTGGGCGATCATGGTTCTTTTTTGTCTTTTACTCATCTCTTCTAGTCATTGTTTTGTCATCCATTTTCACAAGCTTGTTAAGTAGGTTACTCTCTGTTTACCTCTGTCTCTATTTGCCTTCAATATATCTTGTGTGTGTCAAATTCTCCAAACCCACTTATCTCATTAAGTCTCCTAAAAATTTCAACTGTCACTTTCTGATTGTAAGTATAAGTGTCGTTTTTATTGTTCTTAAAACTTCCCCCGTTATTCACATATTTACTTTATGGTATCATCCTTCTGTAGAATCAGATTTCTTAAATCTTCTCTTCATCTGTGAGTAGATTATCCAGCATTCACTGTCATATAGGTACAGTACTCTTTTCTTTGCTTCTAACGAAATTTTCCCGCTTCTTAATACTTTGCTTAGTTTTTGGAAGGCATCTTCTGCTCTTCCAATGCGCCTTCGGATTACGTGTCACATTTTCACTCTTCTGTTAAAACATTTCCCATATATTTAAATTTTCGTACTTGCTTGATTTCGGTACCCCCGATTTGTACCGCACATCTTGTACTGTTCCTCTTACTGACAATCATACATTCAATCTTCTTACAATTGATAGTTAGTCCTTTCTTCTCGCTTTCCTTTACTACCTACTCTAGAATTCTGTTAGTGCTTTTGTGTTAGTAAGATTTATTATAGATGATTACGGCTTGGACAAGCTACACAACCGCTGATTAAATTCTGCCGTGAATATGAAGTGCTTTATAGCGCATTTGTTGAGTTGGTCAAACTCTCAAAGAAGTCAATGAAATTTACGATTAGGGTGTGGTCTGAAAATAACCACATCAAAACGGCCCACAGTCCACCACGTCCGGACATCACATTTTCTTATAAATGATTCCACTTATATGTCGAATCACACCGAATGACATCCTTTGAAACAGGTTTTCTCTGTATAATTATATACTAAGTCATAAAAATATATGAAAACAAAAACTTTGAATAAATAGTGAAGTTAAATGAGTTATTTAGAGTAAATAGTTTTAACCTGTAAAATTTCATGGTTCTTCTATTTTCTCATGAATATTAATTCTTAAGTTAATGATTGAATAAACTCATGTCGAGTTCTATGGTAATAAAATATCTGTAGAAATTATCCTATCCTATCATATTGTTAAATATTTGAGTTTAACAACTTTAACAAAATATTGCATCATCAATATGAATGCTGATCGTTATTTTAAGAAGTGGGTACAAATGAAAAGATTTAAAATTGACAACTTTTCCATTTCACTGAAACAGCTGTTAAACACTATTTTTCCTTTCTTTCATTTTCTCACTCTTTCCATGTGATCAAAACAGAATAGTTCATTATTTATAAATTATTGGCAGGACATAAAGGTTGTGCAAATTAACAAAGGGAGAGATAAGCATAATTATAATAGGGCTAGAAAATGGTACTTGTTAAGAGAATCTGTATCAATTCCTGAACTGTAATGATTTATCCTGAAATGCTTCCTTAGTAATAACAACTTTATTGAATAAGCTTATGGCAAGTTCTACAATAATAATATATTCGTAAAAATTGCCCTATCGCATCGTTAAATATTTGAATTTAGCAACTTTCATAAAATATTGCAATAACACCCGTCAATATGGATGCTGGCCGTTATTTTAAGAAGTAGGTACAAATGAAAATGTTTGAAATTGACAACTTTTATATTAAAAACTTCTATTTCTCTTTCTTTCTTTATTTCATTTTCTCACTGAAACCAAGTAGTGCTTTTACCTCTGTTTTCATGCGACCAAAACGGAATAGACCATTATTTAGGAGGTATTGGCAGGGCATAATGGTCGTGCCAACTAACGAAGAGTGAGAAAAGCACAATTATAACGAGGCATTTTCATTGGATTCCTTCATCGTTTTAATTACTTTAACCAATTTTTAAATATATACAGTGTTCAATCATTTAATGAAACAAGTTATCGAGGCGAATTTTCAAGGCCTTGTCTATGAAGAATGAACTTTTGAAGTATGGGATGTGGGTTCGAGTCAAGTCGAAAGAAACAACAGTCCAAAAAAAGTATCGGTTCCCTTTATTGTCATAAAATGCAGCGTAAAGGGTAGAAAAACCGGTACTGATAAGAGGGTGGGGGGCTATGCTGATGACAGGTATTCATGTCCTGATTCTTTGTAAGAATCAGACCAAAAATAGAGTATTGATGTCATGGCTGATGTGAAGCTGCACAATCTTCACGTTCCAGCCTTGGTAGAGTTCAGAATAGTTTACGCTGTCTTGTTAGGAATCAACTATTCTCCATCCTATTTCTCTTTTGGCAGATATGAAAACCTATTGGTGTTTCCTTACAATGCTTCCTAAACTTCTTTTCCCTGAGCTGCATTTTCGAGAACGTCGCCAAATTTTATGTGATAAAAATACATATGAAAATAAAACAAACCTGAGAGCGTGATTTGAAGTCAGAACTTTATCATTGATAACTCTCTTCTCCAATTTGCGGAGCCTAGTTACCATATTCTTAATGCTTGATGTAATGCAACAATATCACTATGATAAAATCGGTCAATAATTATTTATAACTATTTATACTGGGACTCATGCATGCAATTACAAGTAATCCATAATAATATTTGAAATTTTGAAGTCATATTTATTTCTGACAGATGAATTCTTTGAAACTGATTCTAAATCTTTGATTGTCTTTCAATCATTCTGACTCACCTACTACTCTCTTCTGCTGCACCCATGAGACGCGGTGAACCACTTGGAAACCACTGCCTTAGTAAATGTTCAAACGCTCGACATTCTTAATCATTCCATCAGTTCAAACCCCTACAACTAAGAACACTATGATCAAGTAATCAAACCAAACCTCACTCCTTCTATATTCCAATTATAAGGAGGAATTTCCACTCAGACAACTTTTTCCAAAGTACGCCCCTATTTAGAAAATTGTAAGACAAAATGGAAAAAGTTTATTTGTGACGCGTTTTATCCGTGGACTTCATCGGACTGGGTTTTGTTGGTGTTGTTGTTGTTGTGGACGAGAGAAGCTCTAGTTTCAAAATTTTGAAATATTTTTGAAATAATTTTTGCAATCTAGTCAGATTCATTTATATTCTTTTTCTTTCAATCATTGTTTTTAAGTATTCCACATTATGATAACATAAAATCTGTAAAATGAAACACAAACACACACACACACACACACACACACACACACACACACACACATATATATATATATATATATATATTTGGTTGGATAGATGTGAGTTTGTGATCCTGGGTTTCACGCTTTGGCGATCGTCAGACAAACTCTGACGATCGCTAAAGCGTGAAACCCAGGATCACAAACTCACATCTATCCAACCAAATATGTTAGCTCTATCTCTGATATTGAGCGCTTTCTAATAAGTACCGTGCATATAATATATATGCCCTATATCTTGCACACACACACATATATATATATATATATACGATGGTAAGATATATATTTGTGCATTTAGGCAGCAAATTCTCTTTTAGGCATGTCTAATTGAATAATTTACAGGCATGATGTCTGCTGATTTTTAACAATATGAATAACCTTCCGTGTATTGATATTAAAGGATGAGAGAAATGTGATATATCTGTTTAAATTTCTTCTGAAGATGATCTTGGAAGAAGATCGAAAGTACTTGGGAAATGAAAATAAAAGCAATTTAAACAGCTATAGCACATTTCTATAATTCTTTAGCATCAATACACGGAAGATTATTCGAGTACGTACGGATTTTTTTTAATGATTAGCAGACATAATGTCTGTAATTTATTGAATATATATATATATATATATATATATATATATATATATATATATATATATATATATATATATATATATATAAAATAATTTTTAAAAAAAACAATTTTAAATAACGTTTACTCACCATTGGTAAAATTTAGAAAAACAGAAAACTAATGACTGTTACGAGAATACCGTCAAGTTTATTTTATCTTCATTTCGGATGTTAATTTCTTTCTTTTTTATGTTTTTTTTTTACCAACGAGCGTATCCGACCGAGCACTTTTCCCTGCATCTTTTTATATCACATCCCTAAGACATGTGCTCCAATTCTGAACTTTGGCCTCAAGGCTGTATTACCATGGGGTGGTGGAGGTGTAGCAGTAATAGTAGTAGTAGTAGTAGAAGTAGTAGCTGTCATAATAGAAGAGGAAGACAAAACGATGGTGGGAGGGAGATGAGTGAGTGTTGGTGGAAGTAAAAGACAATGAGGAGAGGTAGAAACCGTCGCTATTGGGACGTGCTGAAAATGATCGCTCGCAGTAAGCCGAGACTTTAATGTTCGTGTCTATTTTCGTCATGGCTCTGTGGCTGACGGCAGTTACTTGTTTCTTTTTATTGATTGGTTGATATGGAGGAGAGCACACGAACACATTTGCATATCTGCTGGTAATGGCTCAAGGGTGACGATCGGGCAGATCACTCCAAAGGTTTACGATGAAAGAGAATTGGAGTGAGGTTATTTGGTGTAAGGAGAAGGATTTTAAAAAAAAATCAAATTAAAAGTACAAATTGATTTCATAGCTTGTTTGGAAAACATTACTATTAAATAAAATAGTGTAACATTCGCATAATTGCAAATACGACAGCAATCGATATTTAAAATTACAAGGTGTCAGTTTAAGCAATAACGCACCTGTAGGGAGAGGGAAGTTTTCATCTAAATATATCGCCAAGTCATTTAGAATGTGTTAGTTTTGGAGATCTGATCAGCTGAAACACGGATGAAGATATTCGATCAAATACATCGCCAAATTATGATCATACCTCACTTTAGAATTTGCGAAAGTTGCAGATCTGACATATATGAGATGAAGAAGGAAGAATAACGAAGATGAAGATATTCGATTAAATATATCGCCAGATCATGATGATACCTCACTTTAGAAATTGTTTAGGTTGGAGAAATTGTGTGGGTTAGAGAAATTGCGGATGTTGGGGATCTGATCAGGTGAAATGATGAGGGAATAACAGCGAAGATGAAGATATTCGATCAAATATATCGCCAAATCTTGATAATACCTCACTTTAGAAATTGCGGAGGTTGGAGATCTGATCAGGTGAAATGATGAGGAATAACAGCGAAGATGAAGATATTCGATCAAATATATCGGTGATAATACCTCATGAAATAGCGGAGGAGATCTTATCAGGTGAAATGCTGAGGAATAACAGCGAAGATGAAGATATTCGATCAAATATATCGCCAAATCTTGATAATACCTCACTTTAGAAATAGCGGAGGTTGGAGATCTGATCAGGTGAAATGATGAGGGAATAACAGCGAAGATGAAGATATTCGATCAAATATATCGCCAAATCTTGATAATACCTCACTTTAGAAATAGCGGAGGTTGGAGATCTGATCAGGTGAAATGCTGAGGAATAACAGCGAAGATGAAGATATTCGATCAAATATATCGCCAAATCGATAATACCTCAAATCTTGATAATGAAATGATGAGGGAATAACCGAAGATGAAGATATTCGATCTTTAGAAATCAGCGGAGGTTGGAGATCTTATCAGGTGAAATGCTGAGGGAATAACAGCGAAGATGAAGATATTCGATCAAATATATCGCCAAATCTTGATAATACCTCACTTTAGAAATAGCGGAGGTTGGAGATCTGATCAGGTGAAATGCTGAGGGAATAACAGCGAAGATGAAGATATTCGATCAAATATATCGCCAAATCTTGATAATACCTCACTTTAGAAATTGCGGAGGTTGGAGATCTTATCAGGTGAAATGATGAGGGAATAACAAGAAAGATGAAGATATTTAGTGTTTGGAGTCTTTTTTCTGATGTTATATTGCTATTAACATTAGTTACTTTCCTCATTTTGACATTCGGACTCGATTCGTTATACGAATTTAGGTTTTCGATAAAGCTACAGCAAAAATTAGTAGGGATGTCGTCCTAGCATCATGCTTATCAATCAAGACATGTCAGTTATAGGAGAATAAACAAAGCATTTCCTTATCAGAATATCACTCATCTCAGATAAATACTGAATTCAACAAGACCTGGAGAAGCCATACAATACGGAATTCGCAAGTGTCAAGACTTTACCAAATACGAAAACTGGAACAAATGAAAGAGCTGAGTCGACCTGAATTTCGGTAACAACAGTTGTCAGTGTCAATAATCGGCAGTTGAGTGCTTTTGAGAAATTAGTGCTTAACAGGAATCCCAACTTCGACACAACCATCATTAACCTGGTATAGTTTTGATCATTTCTACTTGGCTATTTTTTATTTATACAACCTTTTGTTGTTTGTGGACAAAACGTTGTAATGAACCATTCTCTGCATGGATTGGTCATTACTTATGTCGCAGGAAAGTATTTGAACCAGCTTGATAAGGTAAGAAAAATATCTAGATGAAAAAAACAAAAAAAACTAAAGCAATCAGAAAGCCGTGATGACCACTCATTCGCGCATATAGAAAATCTACACTGACCCGCTTGTCTAGTGCTATCGATAAGGAAACATTTATGGCAAAAAGAAGAAAACGAGCCAGGAGACGTGATCGATTTCCAGATATACAGTGATATATAATTTAGATCGATTGATTTTGGGGGAATGTTTGAATTTTGATAAGGCTTTCCTTTGAATTATTGAGATTGCATAACATTGTTCTATTTCTGTTATTGCCGTCTATGTATATGTATATAAGAGAATACTGAAAAGTTCTCGGCTCAACCAAGAAGGAGTCTTGTTGTCCAATTTGTTTTTTCAGATTTTGGGAAGTATGTCTTATCGGGAAATTTTCAGCAACCCATTTTACATACATACTGACTTACGGTCATATATGTTAAAACATCGGTTCCCGTACGATCAGCGAAGTTAAGCAACGTCGATTCTGGTCAGTACCTAGATGGGTGACCTCTTAGAAATACCAGGTGTTGTAAGCTTGGGTGTGCGAGTGATGTAATAGATAACGCCTCGGAATTGGAAATTGGAGAGTTGAGTTCGAATTCCAGTCGACTTTGTTATATTCACTTTCGCGTAAATACACTTTGGAAAGGCATGAATCCACCTCACTCTCCCCAGCTATGAGTTAATTAGCAGAATTTGTAACGGGTAAAAATTATTATTATCTCTCAAACGTTCTTACAATTGAAAAATATTTTCTGTCTTTATATAAACTGGAAAAGGATTGATAAACAGAAAAACAAACAAATCAACCCCCCCTCTCTCTTTCTCTCTCTCTCTGTCTCTCTCTCTGTCTCTCACTCTCTCTCTAAATATATATATATATATATATATATATATATATATATATATATATAAAATACATGAATTATTCACACAAAAACTAATGCAAAGGTTAATGATTTAAATGGCGAGACATCCATCATCGCAAACAATTCAAATAATATACAAAAACCTCCGAATCCGTTATGAATGAATTGATCCTTGTTTATATAAATTTCTGCCGTATTAGTTCTTATTTTTACTACAAGCTTTCGTCTGTTCCTACAGACATCTTCAGGTATAGAATAGATGTTGTTCTTGTTTTTTCTCTTAGAAATAAGAGGACAACGAAAATTGTTTGCGATGATGGATGTCTCGCCATTTAAATCATTAACCTTTGCATTAGTTTTTTGTGTGAATAATTCATGTATTTGTAAATTGATTGCACGTTTATATATATATATATATATATATATATATATATATATATATATATATATATAATATAAAATATATAAAATATAGCATGAACGATATTTTTATTTTTTCCTCTTACCATTGCTCAGTTGGGGGAAGACAGTGGGGCTAACACAACACAAAGCGATTTTAACCTGTTCTCTTTCTAGCTGAAGAACTCAAAGGGTTTTTCAGTAATTATTACAACTTATGGTGTCCAAATGGTTAAACGTCTTATCTAAAAAACCTAACAAAAAACTCAATAGGTTTAGTGTTTTTTTTTTTTTTAGGTATTAAACATTTTGTGGGATGGACAATTATCCCATTCTGTTACGCGATTTGGACAATTTTGTTGTTACATCCGGAATATATATATATATATATATATATATATATATATATATATATATATATATATATATATTGTTAATTACCAAAAGAGACGTTTTATTTAAACATCGGAACAAAATGTACAATTTCGTAGTTATTATTTACATGTTCTGATGTAACAGTGTACAATAAATATTTATTGCTTTACTCTTGTATTGAGCCCTGTTTTAAATTCATTTTTGGAACATTGTAATTTTATTCTTCATTCTTTTACATTTGTATTCGACGAGGGAGAGTCGAGTATACATATATATATATATATATATACATATATAAATATATATATGTATACTCGACTCTCTCTCTAAATATATATAAAATGAGTAATAAAATAAAAAAAAATGTATTAATTTTTAAAATTTTAATCGTTTATATATATATGTATGTATAAAGGGTGTAATCGAATTTATTTGTTTATACACACACACACACATATATATATATGTATAAACGAATAAAAAATAAAAAGAATATATATATTCTTTTCTTAAATTTTATTCCTCTCTCTTTCTCTCTCTCTCTCTATCTCTCTCTCTCTCTCTCTCTATATATATATATATATATATATATATATATATATATATATATAGATAGATAGATAGATAGATAGTGTAATGGATTTTATTATTCGTTTATATATATAGGAGGCACGGTAATGGATAGAGGCTTGGATTGAGGAATCGGAGAGCCGAGTTCGAATTCCAGTCAAATCCATTACATTCACTTACGTGCTAATACCCTTGGGAAAGGTATGAATCCTCTTCTTCTCCCACCAGCTATGTGTAAATAGTAGAACAGACTGGATTCTATAGCCTTGGATGGCAACTAGGAGAAGGATAACACTGAATTCTACGGAGGGTTGTTTGGGGTCTCTCTGTTCGGCCCCTGGTTGGTTCTACACAAATCCTTCACCATTGTAATCAAATCATTGGACTGTCGCTTCTTAGGAACTGAGCTGCTTGAACCTCATACGTCGTATACGACGGGAGAGTCCACCATATATATATATATATATATATATATATATATATATAAACGAATAATAAAATAAAAAAAAGAATATATGAAGGAATAATAAAGAATATATGAAGGAAGAATATATATATTCTTTTTTTTTTTAATTCTATTCGTTTTATATATATATATATATATATATATATATATATGTGTGTGTGTGTGTGTGTGTGTGTGTGTGTGTGTGTGTGAACGGTGTAATTGATTTTTTATTAATCCGAAAGATTTTTTTGTCATTTAAACGTTATTTTAGTGGATACTCGTCTTGGATGATTCATTAAACAGGATATTTATCTATATCGACCGGCCTGAATGTCCGAAAAATTTAATTGAAGAAAAATCTGCGCTCCCGAGCTGGACTCGAACTTGAGTTCTCTTGTGCTACAGAGAACCAGTCATTGGAGCAAGGGCGAATTGAAACTCTTGTTGGGCAATGTAAAATATCAAATTAATTAACTGCTATAAAAAAAACCTCTTTATCAGAAATAACATCTCGATGGCGAAATCAAATCTTTACCTATATTTATGAATTTAGATGCACTGCGTTCCTGACGAAAACAGATCCGCAAATAATCACCACCACCAACAACAACAACCGGTGAAGGCGAATCACCCTCTATCTCTCCGACTAGAGCTCAATACAGACAATTTTAAAGCGGCATGGAATTTTACCAACATCTATAGGCAACACACTCGTCAAAAACACGAATATGATACGCATGACCAACTGCAGAAAAGCGTTTGTGAAGTAAAGAAAGCCCTTATTAGAAAAAAGCATGAAACCAACACTTAATAACTCACACATATACACACACACACACACGCATATATATATGTTGTCTCTTCTACAGATGCGCTTCATCTGAGAATCAGTCAATCTATCTATGTCAGTCTGCTCGTATCTATCTATCTATCTATCTATCTATCTATCTATCTATCTCAATCTGCTTGTATCTATCTATCTATCTATCTATCTATCTAAATCTGAT